GCTCGAGACGATTTCTTTCCCCTCTGAGTGTTTTTCAAGACGGTGTAGCTCTTTCGTTTCTTGTTGGTGGACTAGTTTCGTAGGAGTCACCGTACTATCAAGAGGGGGTCCGCTTTGGTAAGGCTAGGGTGGAATCATCACGTACACTTTCGTTTCACACCCTCTGGGCCTTCCCGCGTCGTTGGAGGTTTGATTCCCTGCTGTTTGGGCAGTCTTTGGCCCTAGCGGTAGTACCGCGGTGCCCAGCGGTAGTACCGCTTGAGGGTCCTCAGTGGCAGTATCGCTGCGGTACCGAGCCACTACCGCCTCGACTCGAGGGGGGCGCTTCTCGTGTCGGGTTGAGCGGCACTTGCAACGGTAGTAGAGTACCGCCCTACCACCGTGGCAGTACCGCGCTGGGCCAGTCCCTCCTCTTTCTTCAAGCCCTCCCAGGCTGGGCCGTAGTACCGCAAGGGGGAGTGGTAGTACCGCTGCCCCCTGCGGTAGTACCGCCCTCTGCGGGGCTGTTTTGGGGGTAACGGTTGGATGGGGTCCTTTTGTATAAAAGGGGGTCTCCTTCTTCCTCGTTGACTCACCTCTTCCCCCATAAGCTCTAGTAATGCTTCAAGCTCCATTTTTGCCCGATCTCTCTCCCTAGCCAATCATACTTGTTGATTTGCTCGGGAGTGGTTGAGAAGGCCCCGATCTACACTTCCACCAAGAGAAATTTGATTCCACCACCAATCTCTAGCAGATCTTGTTACTCTTGGGTGTTTGAGCACCCTAGACGATTGAGGTCACCATGGAGCCATCGTCCATTGTGCTGAAACTTCGTGGTGTTGTTGGGAGCCTCCGATTGAGTTGTGGAGTTTGCTCCAACCTTGTTTGTAAAGGTCCGGTCGCCGCCTCCAAGGGCACCAATAGTGGAATCACGACATCTCGCATTATGTGAGGGCGTGAGGAGAATGCGGTGGCCCTAGTGGCTTCTTGGGGAGCATTGTGCCTCCACACCGCTCTAACGGAGTTGTACTTCCCTTCAAAAGGAAGGAACTTCGGTAACACATCCTCGTCTTCACCGGGTCCACTCTTGGTTATCTCTTACCTTTACTTGTGCAAGCTTATTAGTGTTACTTCTCTTGCTTGCTTGTATGTTCGTTGTTATTGCATCATATAGGTTGCTCACCTAGTTGCACATCTAGACAACCTACTTTGATGCAAAGTTTAATTTGGTAAAGAAAAGCTAAAAATTGTTAGTTGCCTATTCACCCCCCCCCCTCTAATCAACCATATCGATCCTTTCACTTCGTGAACTAGTGGCTGCACCCACTCCCTCCCACAACAAGGGCTAGGCGAGGGGGTGCCGTGCTAGGGCAACGTCCATGGCTGGTGCAGTCATGCAAGACAGGACGAAAGAAGCCAAACGACTGTGCCACGAGCCGGCCAATCATTGTTGTCGTGACCCCTGTGTGTCCTTCCGCCGCTGGAAGGACGGGACGATTCCGATGGCGGCGGCGATGAATCAGACCACGATGAAGGTCCCACCGACAAGGGCATGGAGTCTTCTCAGTGAAATCTATGTATCTGGATTTAATTAACACCGGGCCATTATATTGTCGAGGTCATTGCACTTTTGGAAGATTAAAGTTCCACTTCGGATTAAAATCTTTATGTGGTTCGTTCACAAAGGAGCTATTCTCACCAAAGATAATCTGACAAAGAGGAACTAGGTTGGTAATACTAGATGTTGCTTTTGTGATCAAAATGAATCGATTAAACACCTCTTTCTTGAGTGTCCTCTTACGAGCATAAACACGTTATTTGGGGCGTGACTCAATGGAGTGGACAGTCACATAACCAAACATATTCAGATAGGGATATGTGCCTTATTTTGGGCTATCTAGAATACTAGAAATAATTTGATTTTTAATGGAACAAAATTCACTAATTGTTTGCAGGCTATCTACAAAGCTACACCCTGGATCCATATGTGGTCGTTACTAACTCATGCTCACTTTATGGAGCTTTTGGCTATTGGGTGCAACCGTTGAGAGATGGTAGCATGGGTTATCTTCAGCCGATTTGGATGGCAAACTAATACTCCCTTTGTTTTTATTTACTCCGCATATAAGAGTTGACTGAAGTCAAACTTTGTAAAGTTTGACCAAATATATAGAAAAGAATATAAATATTTATCATAAAAATCTATATGACGTGGAAGTACATTCAACAATGAATCTAATGGTATTGATTTGTTATTGTATATGTTAATATTTTTGTCTATAAACTTTGCCAAAGTTTGCAAAGCTTGACTTTTAACCAAAGTTAATATGCGGAGTAAATAAAAACGGAGGGAGTAATAGGCTAGGTGTGTAGGCATCATAGTCTATTCTTTATCGTTGAATGTGGCACTTTTCCCTTTGTGTTTCATTTTAAGCTCGGACTATGAGCTTTTCTGGAGCTTGAGACTTTGTTACGTTTTTATTTAATAATATGGTTGCATGCATCGATTGATGCAGATGCCGGGGGTTACCTTCCTTTTCAAAAAAAGCAGGCGCACGAGGTTACTGTCCGGTACCTCGCTTAATTAGTTGTTTACAGGTTTTTCCAAATTTTAGTTGAACTTATTCGGTTTAATTGTAATATGCCGAACTTTGTCCATCAAATTCGTCTGATTTATTCAATATGCGCTGGCTGTTATGACGTGTAAGAATGACTGGCTTCCCTCTTCGTCTCCAGCGGGCAGACAATGACTGAGATTTGCAGTCCCGTTGGAGATGCTCTAAGATTCGTAGTAAATACGTAAAAATGAAGAGAACAGTGTACCGAAGACACCGTATTCTCCATATTCTGCAGAGGGACAAAATTCTTGGGCCACCGGGGACGAGTTGACCTTGCAGAACGAGACATGGTTGCAGGCGCGCAGCTGCTACGGCTTCTTTCCTCTGCCAGAACGGTCTCGAGCGGACACACGTAAAGCCTGCCCCTCCCGTCTCTACCAAGCGCCCTTGCGGACACACTTCTCCATCGGTGGCCCTATGCATCGGTATACTCAAAAGTCGCGCAAAAAAGTAAGCACTCTCTCTGCACGGGGGGTAAAATCTTGTGATTTTACGCCGTCGTCCAGTTGCCATCGCCTTTGTTTCAGCACAGGCCGTGGGAAACAGTGAAAGGTGGCGACGTGCATACCCATGCATGCATGCAAACACCACACGCTACGCTCGCAACCAGGGTCGGGCCGTGCCGTCTTATCTCTATCACAAAACTTATAAAAGTTGCCAATGATACATACAGCCGCTACTGTTTTTCCACCGAGCCGAGCTCATCTCATATGTATCCTCATCACGTGGACGTGGCGCCCTAAGCAAAGGCCTTTTGAATTTCTCTCTCTGTCCGAGTGCCTGGAGAAAACAGCGGGAGGAGAGCCCGCCAAGTTGCCGACGTGAAAGAAGCTTTCCCGGGCTCGCCTCCAAAGCAAGACATTTCTTTCTAGCCTTGCCTTTGGCGATTCTTGTTCTACCACGTGCTCCTGGCTGCAACGTACATCGGCCTAGGTTGTAGGATAGGATAGGCTGGAGGGTGGGAGAGATAACCATGGACTCTAATTTCTTTCTTTAGTTGATTGCCCAAGAGACCGGACGTGTCGAGCCTTGCTTGGCATCATCGTGGTGCACTAGACAGCACCCTAACACTCACTCGCACGCCTACGTTTGAAAACCGAGCCGAGAGGTGTACCTGGTAGTACAAAATAATTAGATGGGAAATGCAACGGAGCGGAGCCGGGGAGGAAGACACCACCAAACCGTTGGTGTCGTCGCATCGCATCAGGCAGAGGTCAAAGCAAGAATGAAGACCAGCCGCTGGTAGGAGTGGTACTGCCTGCCTGCCTGCTGCTGGTACCAACCAGATTTCCCTGCCTGCCGGTAAGGTAAGACCAAAACTGGCGGTGGAGTCGTGTCATGTGCGCGCCCCCACCCTCACCCCAGCGACACAGCAAGAGGAGAGGCTCGCGACGCGAGTGTGGGTGGTTGCGCACCTTCACTCACCTCGCGCGCCCCCTTTTGGCCTTTAATGATGCCGACCTTGGCTCCCTCCCCTCCGCTCTCGCCGGCCTATCGAATCCCGGGCTTTTCCCTCCTCCGATCGCCCGCGCGCCCCGCCCATCATGCCGTCAATCAGCCCACCCGGCCGCACCATCCGCGCCGAGATACTCCAACACATCGACCCATTTTTTTCTTAAGGAAATCCGGAGGTTTTGTTTTGGCGTCACAACAGATCAGCAGCACATATCGTAGTACAGCTCGTGTTGCCGGTGTTGGCAGGCAGTGACTGGCTACCGCGCTGTGCCGGGTTCAGGGGTGGATGGCACCCTCCTTAATCACCACTAAATGAGCGACCGGCACTTGACCAGAAAAACAATTCTGTGCGGTCGGAGAAGCCCGCGCCATAATTTGGCTCACCAAACCGGCTGGCCGCCGTCTTTGTCTCCTTTTGGTGTTTTTTGTTTCTGATTCTGATGAAACAAATACTCCTTCGGTCTCAAAATAACTGTTTCGACTTTGTACAACTTGCACCCGCGAAGAAACAGAAAAAGAAAAAGATATAATTGACGCCGATAATGCGACACGTAGAATGAAAGAGACACTTCACATTATTTTAACTTAGTGTGTCTAGGTCTTAGTCAATTGAGACTTAACCAAGTCTCAATCAAATGATATAGCACATAAAAAAAATAAACTGAAAATAACTTTTTGTATGAACTCCATACAAAATCAAAAGAATGTAATATCGACCGAGACATAACAAAGTCTCGGACTCAGACTTAACAAAACTGTTTTAACTTTGTACAGCTCGCACCCGCGAAGAAGAAGAAACACATATAATTGACGCTGATAATGCGATACGTAGAATGAAAGAGACACTTCACATTATTATCATATATATTACGATCAGCCATTTTTCATGCACACGTACTACAGTACTACACAGGTCTGACGGGAAGGAATTGGGCTAGAGGAGGAGGACTAGGAGGGGGCACGGAAGGAGCAGAGGGCGGCGTCGCTGACGCTCTTCCTGGCGAGGAGCACGCGCTGCTGCTGTGACCGCTTGCAGTAGGCGATGGCGCCCTGGATCAGCCCCTCCGACTCCGACCGGCAGCTGCTGCTCCTCTTCAGGGCCGGGGCGCTCCCGCACGAGTTCCTCCGCACCGACGACGCCGCCGTCGTCGGTCGCCACTTGATCACGCCGGAGAAGGACTTGCGTTGCCGGACGTGCTCCTCCTCCTCCATCAGCTTCTCCCGCTCAATGCTGCTCCTCAGCGTCGTCGGGGCCGCGCTGCCGCTCACGTAGCTCTTGTTGATTTGCCCAAACGCCGACTTGCCGCTGACGCCGACGCCCTTGTCCCTGTCATGCGCGGCCCTGCTCCCGGACCCGGACCGAGCGCCGCGGCACCGCTCGTCGGAGCACCAGGTCCTGGCGAACAGGGACCGGAGGAAGGCCCGCGACGCCTGCAGCCTCGCCTGCATGGCCTTGCCGGGCTTCCTGCGCCGGCCCGCGTGCGGTGGAGCATGCGAGGAGTGCTGCAATGGCGCGACCGTGGCGGTGCCCCTTCTGCCGCAGCCGCCTGTGGCGCCGGCGTCCGCGTCAAGCAGCCTGCCCCCCGGCCTCGGCGCCACCTTGTCCTTGCGCTGCCTGGCCCGCCAGGCCGGCTCGTCCGGGCAGGGCGCCGCCGGTTTGCCCCGGCACACCCGGAACTCGTACTCCCCGCAGGAGCTGAGATCCAGGTCGATGTACTCCTCCTCCGTAAACGAGTGCGCGCCAGCAGCACTGCTCGCTCTCGCTCTCACCATCGCGGCGCCGCCGTGCGCTCTGGGGCACATTGGGGGGTGAATTCAACAAGCTGGTCGAGCAATGGCTTGGCCTGCTCCGACGGTCGCAAGGAGGGGGGAGATGGGGGAGTGAGTTAATAGAGGGGGGAGAAGGGGGGCAGTGTCAGGGGTTTGAACAAAAATTATGGGCAAGGCGATGGCAGGGGCAGGGGCAGTGGCAGGGCAGGGAGGAATCCAAGAAAACAGAATGGGGTTGGGGGTGGTGGCCCCTTCCCTTGTCTTGGAGGCTGATTGATTCCAGGGATTGTCTTGTGCAGTTGTGCTCACTCCCTCCCTCCTAGTAGATCAGATGACCTTCGTTCCTAGTTGTTGAAGGTGTAGTACACTTGCTGGTACTCCTGTGCAGTATCATGTAGAGTACAATTCACGCTTCACACAGAGCAAACAGTAACTAGTTGTATCTTGTATGTATGTACTCCTGCCTGTGTATTATTGCATGAATAAAGTAACTAGAAGTAGTAGGGTAGAGAGATTTGAGCAGGTTCTGGATCAAAGTATGCATGAATAAAGCTACCAGCGCCTTGGCCCTTGCCGCAAACGGTGTCAGGAGCTCAACTCAGGATGAAGCCCCAGTAAACTGAGGAGACGAATTATTACCTATGAGTACTATTTACTCTTTGAAACAAAAGAGCACGTATGGATCAGTAACAACACAAAAGTGAGTCGAGAGAGGTTGACAAAGCAAAAGCAGCGCCTTTGCGCAGGCAGCCAAAGGGCGGAGAGCTTCTTTTCTTCTTTCCATTATCCTCGGCATCTTTGGTCTTTCCGCTGTCAACTAAAGCTGGTGAAAAGAACAAAGCCTTGAAAGGAGGAGGAAGACGCAGACGGGTAAAAGAGCAGGAGGTTGACTTTTCACTGGAGATGTACCACGTACGAGTACGTACTACAAGTATGGTCAATTTCACTGGAGATGTGGACGCATCAAACATCGTAAACGGCTCCTCTCCCAACATATGTGCAGTGCAGTGCAGATGGCAACGCGACCTTCACAGGATGCATCCAACAAGTCTTCGAGGAGAGAATGAAGCGGATCATAATGTACACCACAACTATGTGCTACACATCGCATACATACCCCGATCTTCAGTGCTAATGATTGTACACCAACTATTCGAGCCTTTGCTAGAAGCCAGACCGCAGCTCGCCTTCAAGATCATCAAACTCCCACCCGCCGATGTCGTCGGCCCCGTATTCCCTGTAATCTTGGTCGAACTTCCCCGGCTCCGAGTCCGACTCCGACGGTAGCCGCGTCCTGAGCTGGGCGGCGATTGGGGACTCGGTTCTTGAATGGGTTGGCGTGCCGCCGCCGCCGCCCTTGGAGGAGGGCGATCGGGTTCGTCTCGATCCCTCTTCTTTTTCGTTGATCTCGATCTGCAGTACTGGCCGTGGAACCGACTCGAATTCGACCCGCAGCCTGTCGATGCTGGCAAACAGATTTTTCACCTCAGGGTCATCTAGCCTGCATACATGTTTGGCACTGCTTTTTTTTAGTGTGGTCGCGGAGTGAAGTTGACGACATGTTTCGAGAGCCGGGCTTTTTTCGATTCCGAGAAGAAAGGTCATTATCTTGATTCTTGATGAACAGCAATTACCTGGTTTTACGCTCTGGATTTGAGAATGTCAATGCTCTGATATTATCAGCTAAACTGAATGCGGTTACCACCTGAAACAAAAGCACAAGGGAATGAAATTTTTATAAACGTAAAGACACTGTTCTGGATGTCAGCTGTAAGTTACTAGAGATCTTGTTGTCCTCTGTTAGAATCTTCTGTCTCAGGAAGCATGGTAAAGAATAGTCACCTTTTTCTCAGTTTCCAAATATTCTTCCTCGAGGTATTTACGTGGGTTCGATTGCTTTGACAGACCTCCATCATCCGTTGATACTGATCTGTCCACGCAACTAATAGCATAAGCAAAACAGGTCCCTTCACCCTTGCACAACAAAACTAGATTAACGAATGACAACTATACCTGTCACTGAAAATTTTCAAGTTGTCAACAAAGGTCTTTATACAATCTACAGAGGTATTCAGCTCGTCCTATAGAGAACCAAAAGAAACAACCAGTTGAGACACAATATGAAATGGAAAAAAGTAGTAGCAAAAGGCCCTTTTCCATTGTATATCACTTCTTTTCAAAGTAAAAGTCAAGAGTACCACGCATGCGGAAACATGATGCTTAATCAAATTCACAAAGCAGACTCCACATCTATCCAGTTCATCACTGCAATCAGCAAATATTCAAAACAACAAACTTATGTCAATAAATGTTTGTATGCAGAAATCATCAATTGGAATTTTCAGTGAAAGAGCCGACATACTTGGCCTGTTTTTCCTTTATTTCTTCATATAAAGACTGCAACTTCCATGTATCTTCTAAAAAGTTGATCCAAGCTCGGACAGTGCTTGCTTCTACTTTGGAGGAAGCAACAGATCTTGATAGTTCATCTTCCTAAAGTAAGCGTATAGCAGAAACACTGGGCAAGTGAAAAGCCTTACTTCCCTAAAGCATTTTCTAGTCTAGAAACTAACAAAGACAAAGTTTCCAAACCTTTGCTTTCAAGTGTAGCACTATCTGATTGCTGGCTTCATCAAATTGATCTTTCTCCTCTCTAGTTTTTTTAAGCTTCACGACAGTCACATTCAGTTTCGTATTTACCTGTAATCTGAGTTTCAGAATCACTCTTAAAAATAAGCTTCTCATGGAATCAGAGCCTAAGCCTCTACAGAACAGTAAGAGTGAACCTAATAAGCAAAGAAGAAAAACTGTGGAGCCTTCATTCAGCCTAGAATTTGAACATTAAACTTCTAAATAAGGTAAACGAGAGCTAAAATACATATGATTATTGTGTAATTATTAATATTTATTGAATATAAGTAGCATAATACAACTAAAACATCAAGCATTTTTTCATGCAAAGCTGCATGTTATGGTGGGCTTTTTCCCATGCATGGTTGTCTGTTGAGGTGGCATAGCTGCATGTTGAGATAAATATGTTAGTGGGAATCACCTACTTAGTTATATAAGAGTAATAGGACCCTAGATGTATTATTTATACTTAACGTATTGTATAAGGAGCACAATCATTAGATAGATCCACCAATTATGTTGCTCATTATTATGTCTGAGATGCCAGAAAATAATTACATTTGTGGGATACTACTAAGATAGCAAGTCATAATTCAAAGCTGCAATCTAATTGTAGCTCATTTTAAGCCCTAAAAATCTCCTCGTGATATATAAAAGATCTGTACAGTATAAAGGTACAATTAACTTTATCTCTAATGTATCATCATAGAATAACTAGAATAGTTTAATGTGATCCATTTTGAGTTGATGCAGCTTCTGGTGCAATAGGTCAACATGAATAGACAATTCCAGACCCAACAGACTCTGCCAGGTGAATTACATATTCATTTACCTCTCCAAAATGAAACAAAAATTACTGAATTCCAAACTTAAGAAAGATATTACCAGAATTTTTTGTTCCGCAAATTACTGAAATGGATCGAAAGAACTGGATTGCCACTATTATTTTATTAAAGTGGAAAAGGAAAGGGCGGTCATACTTTGCTTAGTTCTACCTCAAGTTGACCCCTTCGCTTCTGGAGTCCAGAGATCTCACCTTCTAATTCCTTTTACAACAATACAAAAAAATAAATCAGACAAAGCCATCCATATGACCAGAACAAGACTATTGAAGACAAATATTAGAGCTTGTGAGGTGTCCTTCTTTGTTTATCCTTAGCAAGAGCAGTTTGATGTATATTAATGATGAAGTTAAAATATTACTTTTGGTACTTTGGAGGAAATCCGAGAACTTTGTTCATCAGGATGCACAATAAATTCCTTCTTGGCTCGTTTAAACAGTCCATTGTACACGAAAGTACCATAATAGTTTAAGTGAGGACTAACGAAGTTACCTTTTCAGTTATACTAACTTCATTTGTTTTCGTAATTTTGAAGCTAAGAGATTCTTCCCTCTGCAGCCTGCATTGTGAAACATAGGGCGACAAATTTTCACCATAAAGCAGACAGGCTCATTTCAAAGAAGTAAAATGAAGTAACATAACTGTGTCTTTAACATGAAGAAAAATATTGTAATAAATGAAGAAGGTAAAAATGCACCTTGATTACTACAGCAATGTTACTAGATTTTTCCAAATAACTTCTCAGTGGACCCGCATTCTGAATTTATCTTCTAGTGTTTGACATATCTTTTCAAGTAATAGCAATTATGGCTTACAGATTAGTCAAATATACTTTCACTGCATTCGCATTCTGCCAAATGAATATGTGCTAAGTTGCTGAAAATAAATAAATATAAAACACAGATAATGCTCAAGACCAAAACCTATTTTCCATTATACGCTTTTCTGCTTTGGCGGACGAATTTGCAAGGGATTCTGACAAAACCTTCAGCTTATCGACCTGCAATGTTTTGTGGAATGAATATTGAGACACTAACCATGTGCCATTCAAAAAGGAGCACAAGGAGAGATGTTTTGACTTTTGACAAATAAAAAAAGCTCAAATATTCTACTGTGTTCAATCTGAATTCCAGATTTATGAAAGTGAAGAAAAAAAGAAAGGAAAAAACAAAAACAGGAAGGCAAATTAATTAAGTATCATACCTTCTGAAAATGAGTCTCCAGTGAGTCGCCAGGGTGTATTGATTTCTTCTTTAATACAAGGTCTTCCATTCTGGAGCATAGACGAACCTCATCAGCTGCAGTTTTGTAGTCCTATGAAGAGTATCAGAATTTAGAAACGAATCACTGAATCTAGCCCTTAATTTATAGTATATAATTGAGGAATGGAAATAGTATAAGACAACCTGTACTTAATGGGATGAAAGTATGGAACGAATAACTTCAGTGAGCTGCTGAGGACTTGAGGGCCTAGGATTTCGGAATATATGCACAAAAGACTGTATGCACTTCTTTAAGTAAACATGCACTTAATATGTGATCATACATTGCCTACACCAG